AAACCCCTAGGCTGATGACTACTTTTACTACTGCTGCTGCTGCTGCTGCCGCTGCTACTACTACTACTACTACTACTACCACCACTGCTACTGCTACTACTACTACGACGACGACGACTACTACTACTACTACCACCGCTAGTTTCTATTACTAGTACTAGTGCGTGTACTAGTACAGTGGTACGCTGTTCGTGCTTGCAGCCGTACTCGGACGGGTACTTGTACTGGTACGAGTACTCGTACCAAGTCGTAACATTGAGCCATTAAGCCCACTCACAGAAACCTCAGGCCGAAGGCCACGATGCGGTTCTGCTCGCCTTGAAGCGACTCTATGCCAGAGCCTTCAGCGACCTTCGATGTGGAGATTTAGTGTTCATACAGGCTTAGGGGATTACGTATGGTGTAGAGGTTCATTGCACTTTGGCTTTCTGGATTTGGATTCCAATGACGTTTGTGAAGATAACTGACGAAGGCTTCGCCAATGGCTGGTTTGCTGGAAGCTGTCCATGGATGCAACCTACCTGTCTTTGTGTCGTGTGCGGTGAAACCATGAGCCTGACAAAGGTCCTGAAAAGCCGACACCCTTTTATCCCCTACTACTACTACTACTGCTGCTGCTGCTGCTGCTACTACTACTACTACTACTACTACTACCTACTACCTACTACCTACTACCTATTATAATACTACTACTACTACTACTACTACTCCTGCTGCTGCTACTACTACTTCTACTACTACACCTACTACTACTACTACTACTACTACTACTGCTACTACTTCCACTACTACTACTACTACTACTACTACTACTACTGTTACTACTACCACTAGTACTACGACTACTCTTCTTCTTACTACTACTACTACTACTACTACTAAGGAGCTAATATGGTTCGTTCTATTATGCCTGCTAGCGAGAATTCCATGTTGTGGTTGATCTGTTTCTTACTCGTATTACGTAATTACGAATACTATTCCCTAGGGTTCGTTCCATCACAAATATAACCAGTACGCACAAACCCTTATAGAACCCTTTCAAGGAACCCTACCCTAATGACCAAGGCCCCTATGTTTACACCCTGTTTGATACAGGCCTGGCTCTGGTCCAAGAGGAAGGTCGCAGTACAGGACTCTCGGAAATCTCGGGAACTTAGTATCGGGCTTCCCGAAGAATTCGTGGTAGTACTTTTCCAACTTCCTTTAGGTTTCCTTATCGTATAGTCATGGTAGGGTACACCCCAAAACCAATAAGGCCCGTGTATTGCATGCTTGGGTTTGTCGAAGCTTTCTTCTCCACCACATGCATGTCCCAGGCTCAGACATCACTGGTATTGTTGCCATTACATTATCTTTGTGTTGTCGCTGAGACTGCTCTTTCTTGATTTTAGTGAATGTTGAAAAGTTCAGATGAAAAAGGGCTTCCAGAGGGTGCCACAGAGCTGCTTACGAGGGAGCCTGCTTTGTAACCCATGGCAAAAGTGCAATGCGATACTCTGAGAAATGCTGTGCTAGACAAGGTGAGTCCACCCCTTGTCAAGCAGGACTGGATCGATCAGCTCGGCGTTCATGCCGCTCTCGCAGCCCCCTGAGAGTGACATGTTTTCGTTCAGCCTTGCTGTCTTTGGCGTTCAAAGTCTCGCGCTCGCAGTGGTTTCCACGATACGGTTGCGAGACTTCTACAGCAGTCTTGATCTGTCGTGGCTAGGCTTAGTGCATCACGGTGTAGGTTTAAGTTTCAATATCTGAGATGTACTCTTCGAGGAGTGTGATCTCAGGTGGATCTCCTGAACTGCCCCGGCAAGACCCTAGCACTTTGGACTTGCCAGGGCCTGTGAGAAAGCCTATCGGGCGAGAAGTTTATTTCGCGAGGTTGGGGATCGATGTGCCTTCCGTGAAGTTGAGACGGCCAGCTTTGTTCTCCAATTCGAGAGCTTGGCCGACAAGGCGACTGGCGACCAGAATCCCGAAGCAGCTTCCGTCGGGCAATTTGCCTAGGCTGCAGAGCCAAAGTCCTTTCGTGTCTGCAGCTGCAGGCCCGTGCAGTGTCTGATGGCATTCTTCCCCAACAGGAGAGAAAGTTCTGGCAGCGGCACTTATGATGCTTCCGCACCAAGCACACAGACAGAACCAGCCCGTGGCGAAAATCGAACAAAGCAGCTGTCCAGAAGCACCCGGGGCGAGCGAAATGAGCGCCAAACGCCTCAGAACTGAGGCTACGTCATTGCTGCGGCGGCTCTGGACCACGCCAGGCTCCGGAATACCACACGAGAGTTGAGGAAGCTGTAGGAGACGCCTAAGACAGGCGCCGTCGGCTTTCAGTGCGACTTGTCTAGGGCCTGCATCCTGGACGTAATTAATTGATCTCGGGTTCAGACAGTACACAGCTTACAGAGGAGGCCCCGCAGTCTCCTTTTTCCTTGCAGTCATACACGGCCCAATTCTCAAGATGTCGGCTATGAATTCTTCGAACCATGATGTTCGCACACAGCTCGATAGAAAATGGTTCTCGATAATCCCTACAACACTTCAACATGCAGCTCAACCAGTCCACTCCCCTGCCGATGAAATCCAGTTCTGCGGTTCATATTTAAGAAATATGATATGATTCGGATATGATACACTTTCATTTAGTTTTTTAATTTCAAACGCTACGTTACAACACAACATATAGTGACTCTGACTACTCCGCAAAGCATCCTGGGTTCTGGGACAGGAATGCCAAGGCCTTCACCGAGGCCGTGCAAGACGTCTTAGCGATGGCCTTGCAGTCTCGTTGTGATCATGATGATTCTGATGGAGGTAGCGGTTACAAGTTACAAGGAAGATGGCGACGATGATGACGACGAGCTGGCAAGGAGAGTTGCAGCCTCCAGGCGAACGCAACACCTGCGCTCCGTGCTGCTACCGCACGCTACGAGCAGGACACCCAGGACCCGGCCGGTTTGGGGCTGTGGACTTTGGGACTTTGGGGTGTGAGATTCAGTCACCAGGCTCAAGCCGTCCGGGGTGATGTAACCTCAGAAACCAAGAGGCGGCTTGAGGGGATCCTTCAGCTTTGAGTCGATAAAGAATGCGTGGAACCGCCTGCATCATGAAATCGGCCCCACTGCACGTCCAGGTCGCAAGCCTTAAGAAGCTCCTGTGGCTTCTCACTTGAACCAGCTTCCGAAAAAAGAGCTTCCTGCATGCCGCAGATTGCAGCTGCCGTCAGCTTCGCCTTCGCAGCTTATCTTCCCCGCGGGAGGAAGTGACACTTCCCAGGGTTTGGGCTGGAGGCTCTGGGTGCAGATTTTCTGACGTGAAAATCCTGAAAAGGCTGCCTACGAGTCTTTTCCTGAGGTTGAAGTCTAGGGCGGAGTCTGTACTCTCCGTCGAGTCTCCTTTTTTATGCCTCAAGCCACTATACAGCCTAGATTATCCTCTGAGCAGATGATAGGCCCCCACCCAGACACTAAGTACGGGCTAAAACCTCCAACTAGAGACCACCGACTCTGCATGCGAAATCCTTCGTTTGAACCTACAGCGAATCTCGGCACCCGGATCTTTCAGCTCGTGGATGAACCGGGTTGGCGAGCCAATCACGGAGAGCTGACCGACCAATCAGAGCACCTGTGTGGTACTCAAAATCAGACCTGCATCAGGATGGCAGTTTATGAAGGCATGGTTTAGGGTTTAGGCACAAGTCTACCGGATCAGAGTAGACTTGGCGGTATCTGCTTCGGTTCGGGTTCAAGCTTCAGGTTTGCTGCTTTTGTAGTTAACGGTCGAGGTCTTGGAAGAGTCTTATCATAGTGCTCTCATTCTTCGAACCTTTTGCGGAAGGCTAGGATGATGCAACAGTGCTCACTCCTAGAGACCTCACAAGCTGCCTGTATCTGACACTTTTCTTTTCGAGCCTGTTGTGGGCGTGTTCTGCACAAGTTACTGCAACCATCACTCGACATTTCGCAGAGTCTTCGTGCTCAGAGAAGCGACTGCGCCCGTCCCTGGCAGTCATGGCGGCAGCAAGGTGCGACACGGGCTTAGATACGGTGAGGAATCACCACGAATCCATGGCCTTCAGGCTTGCCTGCATTTGCGGTTGCGTTTTTGTGTTTAGCAAGTTTAGTATATTGGGCTTGCCGGTCTTCTTGCGGAGTCTTTGCTGTTCCAAGAGCATGCATGTGCGGTTTCCCACCACAGAAGCAACCCTGGAGGAAATGTTACGCGCGTTTCTAAAGCTGACTGTCTGACTGCCGGCTGCCCCCCGAAACCTTACCGCTTGTATCATGAGCTGGCTTGACCAGGAAATTTGAGAAGCAGGGCAATTCAGATTTCTACAGTCGGCACAGGTCTCTGTTGTTGGAAAGGATCTTTCGCAGCATGCTGTGCATCTGAATGTCTCGATTTTGCCATCTTTTCATTAGAGTTATTGTAGCACCGTGACCGTCAGCATATCAAGGGCTTCTCGGCTCACCGGCCAGGCGCTCTGCCTTTTCCATCGCCCTGGCCGGGGCTCTTGCGCTCCTGGCGCTGAGAGCATCGCTGAACTTCGTTGCTTTGGCGCGACGCTCAAGAATGTGGCAATAGCAACATCAGACTCAAAAACCGCAAACATGACTACGGTTACCGTGACGTCGACTGCCGCAACTACGACGACGACGACTACTACTGGTTCTACTACGGCTGCTACTACTGCTACTACTACTACCACTACCACCACTGCTACAGCTACATACACCTACGACAATGTTTCCACTACTATCTCTAGTACTGCAGTCCAGAACTCAGCAGCTGAACTGCTTATGGTACTGGTACAACCGGCAATGGTGAGAGCTATGACCTGTCCGGGTAACTCAGCAAAACGTAAACCGGCCCTGTAGCCTAAACTGCCCTGTGATAGTACCCTCATGAACAGTAACTACAAGTCCCAAATCAGAGAACGAAGCATCCACCAAAAGGCGGGTGCGCCAGCGGCTCCTCGCAGCTCTGTAGCCCTCAGGGCCTCGATCATGGCCAAGGAGGCCCCAGGGCTGAAAGTTCAAGCGCCGCGTATGGGTAGTTCTCTAAATTAGGGTCCTTTCATATGCCGTCCTCATCGCCGTTCGTTTGACAAGTCCTATGTCAGCAGTGCTTGCAACTTCAGGGGGTTTAACGGTTTAGCGTGTGTCATGTCGCGGAGGGTTGTGAGCTGTAGCTGCTGCTGCAGCAGCTGCTGCTGCTACTGTTCTTGCTCTTGCTGCTGTTACTGTTGCCGTTGCCGCTGCTGTTGCCGCTGCCGTTGCCGTGGCCGTGGCCGTGGCCGTGGCCGTTGCCGTTGCCGTTGCCGATGCGGTTGCTGTTGCTGTTGCTGTTGCTGTTGCTGTTGTTGTTGTTGTTGTCGTTGTCGTTGTTGTTGTTGTCGTTGTTGCTGTGGCTGTTGTCGTCGTCGTTGTTGTTGTCGTTGTCGTTGTTGTTGTTTTGTGCTCCTTCTCCATCGAATCGGTCAGGAGACATCGACAAAGACAGGCAAGTCAATGCCGGGGAAGGCCAGAGTTTGATGCTTAAGATTTCAGCTTTGCCCCATGCCGTTTAGGGTTTAGCGTATGGAGTTCGCGAGGATGCATTTGAGGGCTGCACCACAGTACCACGCAGGGCTTTGAGTGAAGGAGCCTCCCGTGTTGAAGGTGCTCGAGACCTGGAGCAACGGCTTTCTAAGATTCTCCAACCACCTGGCCAGCGGTGGCTGTCACGAAACCTGCGTCAGCCGCACTTCCAGAATTCCCGAGCCACCGGCCACGCGAGTCTCCAGTTCCGTCAGCTATACAATCCCATTCCACATCCCTTATTCAAAATAGCGATTCCGCCATATTGGCCAGAAAGATCACTCTTGGACAGTTCAGCCAGCCCTGACGTGATGTGGGGTCCTACTTGGCTTCGTCCTGCCTCGTTCACAGATCGGTCCCTTCATGTCCCTTCCACGTTCGTGCGTTCACGTACGACCTGGGGCTGGCCATGGCTCAGACCGCGAGAAACTTCCACAAGCGCATGGAATCCTTAGTGGAGAAGCTGAATACCTGCTTCACGTGATGCACCGGTGGAAGCTCGTCTCACAGCCCGTCTTCCAGCACCCTCTTTCTTGAGGGTCTCGCAACATGGCAAGCCCTCACCCTCCTCTTGTGCCATCTCTTCTTCGGAAATCAGTGCGTGCCTTGGTATATTGGTCGGTCCAGGCACAGAGAGGACCGTTAGCAGGCATGCGTTTCCGCATTGGCCTTGATTTTAACTTGCACAAAGGACCGAATAGTAGATAGAGGGCCCAGGAATCAAGGCCCGAGATTCCAAAAAACAGCGTTGGGCGCATCTTGATTTTGATCCTCGGCCCCATTGTTACGGTAAGCGTGCCGAACTGGTGGCCTGAAGTTGCCTGACACACACACACACATACACACGCACACAGATGCACAAAATACACATGTGCACAGAAAATTTGTTGTATATGTATACATATCCTACTGAAGCAGTACAACCTAGATTCTTAGATGAGTTACCGGCGGTAAAACCACGAGTCAGAGGTCGAAATGATTACATTTGGATTTCGGCAGGCCGGCACATTCAAGTATCCCAGCCAGCTCACTGGCCTTAGCCCTGAGGAGATCCAGGCCGGGAACTTTGCGTGGGATGACTTGGCACTGAACCACATGATATCAGCAAGCAGGAGTCCTCCGAGGTATTGGCACTGAACAGCTTTCTTGGCGAAGCATTCGCACACGAACCTGCTGAACCCAGTAAGGGTTAGCATGTTGTGGGGCTAGTCGTCACCGTCGTCGTCGTCGTAGTAGTAGTCGTAGTAGCAGGACTAGTAGTAGTAGTAGTAGTAGTAGTAGTAGTACTAGTACTAGTAGTAGTAGTAGTAGTAGTAGTAGGCGCCCCCCCCTACCAACCACATCTGCTGCCAACCCTCTTAAGAGCACGTTCGTTTTA